ACAGAGCGAGACTCCGTCTCAAAAAAAAAAAAAGAGTGAAAACAGGCCAGGCACAGTGGCTCATGCCTGTAATCCCAGCACTTTGGGAGGCTGAGGCAGGCAGATCACCTGAGGTCTGGAGTTCATGACCAGGCTGGTCAACATGGTGAAACCCTGTCTCTACTAAAAACACAAAAATTTGCCGGGTGTGGCGGTGCGTGTCTGTGAACCCAGCTACTTGGGAGGCTGAGGCAGGAGAACCACTTGAACCCGGGAGGCGGAGCTTACAGTGAGCTGAGGGCATACCACTGCGCTCCAGCCTGGGCGACAGAGCGAGACTCCGTCTCAAAAAAAAAAAAAGTGCAAACAGTAAGTTGCAAAATGGTATGAAACTATTTTGTTAAAAGATATATGTGACATATGTAGGATGAGTATGTGTATATATGTGTGCATATGCATTTGTATAGGACACCTGGACATTATTACAGTTGGCTTTGGGGAGCTAGTTAGGAGGTTTATTTCTTGGTGGTTTAAACAGTTCTGAGCACTTTCTCTTTCCAACCATTAAATATAATAAATTCTTCCGGCTGGGCGCAGTAGCTCACGCCTGTAATCCCGACACTTTGGGAGGCCGAGGCGGGCGAATCACAAGGTCAGGAGATCAAGACCATCCTGGCTAACACAGTGAAACCCTGTCTCTACTAAAAATGCAAAAAGTTAGCTGGGGTTGGTGGTGGGCACCTGTAGTCCCAGCTACTGAGGAGGCTGAGGCAGGAGAATGGTGTGAACCCAGGAGGCGGAGCTCACATTGAGCCATGATTGCACCACTGCACTCCAGCCCCCCGAGTAGCTGGCATTACAAGCGCCCACCACCACACCCGGCTAATTTTGTATTTTTAGTACAGATGGGCGACAGAGCGAGACTCCGTCTCAAATAAATAATAAATTAATTATTCTTCCTCACAAAAAGACACAAAGTACAGAGTCCTAGCCAACTAAAAAACAAACAAACAAAAAAAACTCTTGTCTATACCTTCCTAAAATAAAGTCAGATTTCCCTACTGAGGTTAGCTGACCCATGATACTTAAACGTGAAAAAAATTAGCATTTACCCACAAATGCCAATTAACCTTTATAGATGTAACACTTTCAAGTACAATTGATAAATTGGATATGCACATAGTAAAACCTGTAGCACGATCTGAGGAAGTAGGAATTCTTACAGAATTCACATTTAGTGACAATGTAATTCACTATTTTAATAGGCTAAAGGAAAAAAATAATGGTATCTCAGCAAGTGCTGAAAAGCCTGTTAGTAAAATTATTTCCCTTTGTGTTTAATCTCTTAGAAAACTAGTAATAAAGGAAGCTTCCTTCAGTTACTAAAGAATATCAATCAGAAGCCAATAGCAGTTCCAGGTTTAAGAGAATGAAGTAAGCTCATGGAATCTCTTCTTCCTCCTACCAAATCCATAGAAATTATGAAAAATATATTAAAAACACGTGTCTTCCTACTAACAAACAAGGAGGAGAGAGTTCTGGTGGATCAGAAACTGAGAATCAGCTTCCACTGGGCAAATAGTAGAGGGAAGGTCCAGGTGGGCAGGAGGAAGATTAGTACAGAGAAGTGGTGTGATACTGAGTGCTCATATTTCTGGAGATGGTGGAAGTGGAGAGGAAAGGGGACACCCATGGTAAAGACTGAGTAGTTGGGGAATCTCTCCCTGCCTGTGCCATATATCAGCAAAGAATAAACTTGTTATCAAGCCACAATTCTAAGAACAAGAGACCGGATACTCACCCACACATGTACACCTTGTAACACTTGGCAAGAGTGAGGAACATCCATTTTCAGAACAGCTGCTGGGGTTCTTAGTGTCCTTATTCCCACTGAAAATAGTTCAAGGCAGAGCAGCAGCTACTGCCCATGATAGCCCTTTGCCCTCAATACTCAGCAAGTTACCTAAGTAGAGATGAACTCACAGTCTATCACCATCATCTGAGAAAAGCCAACACAGTGAAATAGACAAATTCAACAAATAACAGAACCAAACCTCAGTAGTGATTAATGGGGCAGTGATACTCCTTTAACTGACTTCTACAACATTAGCCACTATTGAGTTCTATGGTGTGCTGAATGCTGGCTTGTCTCTAATATGACTGCACACTACGCTCCTTTCAGTTGATCTACATGTTTAAGAGTCAATTATACTTCGGGTAAATTTACTTGTTGCAGTTTCATAATTTTATTCAGTGTTACATAAACTGATGAAATATGAGTGTAAGAAGAAAGCTCCCTTGAAAACCAAGTTGAATGCTTTGTAATCACAGTAGCGGGTTGCTGCAAAAAAAATTAATACTGAGTTATGCTTATGCAAGACAACTGTAAAAGATTTGAGGGAGTGTATGAAAGTCTAGAACTCTGTACTGAGATTACTTTGCAAGTTCTTCAAGTTCTTGCTTCACTTTAAAGTTCTAACCTCTATGTCATGAGTATGCCAGAAGGTAATGGAAGGGAAACTGAAGAACTTAGGGATGTTTTCTAGAACTGAAAAGAAAGGTCTGAGTCTAAAGTTGAAAGGCTTTCTAAATGCCAATCAGGATTAAAACACAAATACATACACAAACTCACACTAAATTTTGTGTAGTAAAATTATAGCATATCCAAGAGAAATAACTTGGATGGTTACTTCTTCTGGAGGGAAAAGAGATAGATTTCTGTGCCACAAAACATTCCAGATGGATTAAGAGTTTGGCTGATTAAAACCAAATACAGAGAAATGTGTACACAAATACGTATAACAGCATTATTCATAATAGCCAAAAAGTGAAAACAACCTAAATGTTCAACAGCTGGTGAATGGACAAATAAA